TTTTTAGTATATTTATTTGTGCAATTATGTATTATATAATTATATAATATTATATAATACATATATTTATTATTTATATATATATAAATAATAAAATACTATATAGATAAATAATAATAAAATTAAATATAGATAATAATAAAATACTATATAGATAAATAATAAAATATAAAATAATAAAATACTTTATATATATAGTATACAAAAATAATAAAATACTATATATATATAAATAGTAAAATATAAAATAATAAAATAATAAAATACTTTATATATATAGTATACAAAAATAATAAAATATTTTATATAGATAAATAATAAAATATAAAATACTTTATATATATAGTATACAAAAATAATGAAATATTTTATACAGATAAATAATAAAATATAAAATAACAAAATACTTTATATATATAGTATACAAAAATAATAAAATATTTTATACAGATAAATAATAAAACATAAACTAATATAAAATACTTTATATATATAGTATTTTTAATCACAGTCTTCAAACGAACATCTATCTAGCTTATCTGAAGATTTGTTGAGCGAACGACGTGAACGGTGCGACGCACTTGACAGTGAGGAAGATAATTTTACGTCTGTTTACGTCAAAAACAACTGTGTCTCTTAGTGACGTATGCAGCTTGCAGTTGCCTGCAAGATCGTCTGTTCGATCTCTGTAAACTTTCACACAGAATATTTCAACCAGTTATTTGATCACTCCACGTGACAGCCGCGATTGGGAGAGCCGCCTTTGATGTTCTATTCGTAGTTTCAGCTGTAAAAGATTGAACGATTAATTGAAAGGCTTGTAAACATCAGAGCTCCCGACACGGTGAAGTTATTTTAATTAAGAAACCTGCCTTTTTATACGGGGTGAACTATAGGTGTATATATATATAAAAAAAAAAAAAAAACATCGACTGAAAAGCTAGTCGTAGTTAGTCGAGAAATGCTCAATGTTTAAGTTGAATTAATGTCTTGATACAATTAATTAATATATATAGTGATTAATGTAATTAATATGTAACATATAATATCAATGTAATGTACAATATAATATATAGATATTAACATAGATACATACATGTATATGTAATATATGTGTGATATATATAAATACATACAATTAATAATTAATTAATTTTGTAAACATTTTACATGTAAATATACATTAGTTCTAAGCAAATGTCCATAAATTCAATGTATTAAGAAAAATAATTACATCAGAAATATGTACTTATTTTTACATGTGTTTCATGCACCATTTAATAAATTAAATTAAGTAAGATAGTTGTGTTGATGAAAGTTTATGTCGAAGAATTCTATACATCAATATCAATCCAAATGTTCGTAGATTCCATAAATCAAGAGGAGAAGAACAATTTTATGAAAAGATTAAATAAACTTTTATTTATCATATACATATGAATTATTTACATTAATTTCAAGCTAAATATCCGTAGATGTAAATTAAGAAGGCTAATTGCACCAATCAAATTTACCAGATAATTGTAGTAGAATTCATAAATAAATTTGTTGCAGCTTTGCTGTTCAATTTGAATCAATTTCTGTAAATTTAATGAACCGAATTATTACAGTTAATATCTAACAAGTTAATATTAATAATATTAATAGAGTACAAAATTAATAATATTAATAAAGTACAAAATTAATGTTAATAATATTAATGCAATACAAAGTTAAAATTAATAATATTAATAAAGTTAATACAAAATTAATATTAATATTAATAATAACATATTAATAAAGTACAAAATAATAATGTTAATACAATACAAATATTAATATTAATAATAATATTAATATTAATATTAATAATAATATTAATATTAATATTAATAATAATATTAATATTAATATTAATAATAATATTAATAAAGTACAAAATAATAATATTATTACAATACAAGGTTAATATTAATAATATTAATAAAGTACAAAATTAATATTAATGATATTAATACAATACAAAGTTAATATTAATAATATTAATAATATTAATAAAGTACAAAATTAATATTAATAATATTAATATAATACAAAGTTAATATTAATAATATTAATAAAGTACAAAATTAATATTAATAATGTTAATACAATACAAAGTTAATATTAATAATATTAATAAAGTACAAAATTAATATTAATAATGTTAATACAATACAAAGTTAATATTAATAATATTAATAAAGTACAAAATTAATATTAATAATGTTAATACAATACAAAGTTAATATTAATAATATTAATAAAGTACAAAATTAATATTAATAATGTTAATACAATACAAAGTTAATATTAATAATATTAATAAAGTACAAAATTAATATTAATAATGTTAATACAATACAAAGTTAATATTAATATTAATAATAATAGTAATAAAGTACAAAATAATAATATTATTACAATACAGGGTTAATATTAATAATATTAATAAAGTACAGAATTAATATTAATGATATTAATACAATACAAAGTTAATATTAATAATATTAATAAAGTACAAAATAATAATATTAATAATAATATTAATAAAGTACAAAATAATAATATTAATACAATACAAAGTTAATATTAATATTAATAATAATATTAATAAAGTACAAAATAATAATATTACAATACAACGTTAATATTAATAATATTAATAAAGTACAAAATTAATATTAATAATATTAATACAATACAAAGTTAATGTTAATGATATTGATACAAGTTAATATTAATAATAATATCTACATTAATATCAATAACACCTGCATCGTCTGTTAGTATCTACATTAAAAGAACAAAAACAAAAAAAAAAAAAAAACAAAATAATACTTCTTCGTGGTTAATACTTCTTCGAACAAAATTCTACTTTAAACTGTTAATTTTCGCCAAGGATCATCCCCATTGCGGTTGCGCGTGCATCATCAATAACTGGCTACCGTGTATAAACACGTATCCCAGGGTTAATGCGGCAGAGAGAGAGAGAGAGAGAGAGAGAGAGAGAGAGAGAGAGAGAGAGAGAGAGTCTGTTCGTGGCAATGAAGGATAACCCTTTGCCCGGATCTGGATCTGCGACTTTACCGACCGGAAATCGGAGAAAAGCCTGGCCGATCACGCGATCACCAAAAATGTTTCTCGAAAAAAGTTTCCTCTGTCGTTTTTCACGGGAGGAACCGTTTTCGTTCTACCTCTTGACGGATCGATACTGATTTTGTTCTTTTTTTCTCCGCCGGAAGTATTGACGTCAACTTGGTTCACGTAAGCCGATTACGCGGAGATCGATGCAGGTGCAGTGCTCTAATATCCTGCGACGATCTTTCTCCTCGTGTAATTATCGTCCGCCGTGTATTGCACGTGCTCGAGATGGTATTAATTAAAGAAAAAGAAAAGAGGGGATGTGATTTAATTAAAATGGATAATATGGAAACTGATCGCGAGTGATAAGAGGCAAGACGATTCGGAAGAGATTTGATTAGTATTGAAGTTAGGGAATTATATGATGTCTAACGTAAGAGCAATCGAACTCTGGATTTTTAACATCTTTGATTATGTGTTTCTGGCAAAATTGAAGGATCTGAATGTAAAATTATAGTAACGAATGTAACTGAATATAGAATTATAGTATTTATATATTATATAAACACTATAAATAAATTACAGTAAAGTAAAATATAGTAAAATTTTTAATATCTGTTATGGCGTCTTTAAATCTGAACAGTATCGACAGAGGATCTGGAAAAATAATTTTTATACATGAAATTTTTAGCAGAACTCGAGAAATTTCAAGTGATTTAAATTTATCAAGTGTCTGAATAATATCTGATAAAGTTTAATATTGTTGATAAAGAATTCATAAAATTTTTAATATCCTTGTGTTGAGTTTTAATCGTGTCTTTAGAAAAATCAAGGAACTTGAGTAATACTTGATAAATCTTAATGACATCAACAAAGAATCAAAGAAGCAACCTGCAAAATTGTGAAAATAAAAATTAATAAAATTTAGTGATTCTAATCAATTTTGTTAACTATTGAAATACGTTTAATTAATAGTTTCTGTTTCTCCTCTTTGCGTTTGTTACTATATATATTATGTTAATACTTAAATATTGAATAAAATACTTCGTATTATTATACTTAATATTATATAAATTTATAAATTACTATTTTATACATTATAATTATAGTATTTTATAATTATAAAATTTTAAATATTTCAAAAATTTTATTTTATTTTAAAAATTTTAAATATTATTTTATAAATTATAATAAGTGTATCATTGTAATATTATAATATTATATTAATACTTGAGTATTGAATAAAATACTTCGTATTATTATACTTAATATTATATAAATTTATAAATTATTATTTTATACATTATAATTATAGTATTTTATAATTATAAAATTTTAAATATTTCAAAAATTTTATTTTATTTTAAAAATTTTAAATATTATTTTACAAATTATAATAAGTGTATTATTGTAATATTATATTAATACTTGAGTATTAAATAAAATACTTCGTATTATTATACTTAATATTATACAAATTTATAAATTATTATTTTATACATTATAATAAGTGTATTATTGTAATATTATAATATTAACACTTGAGTATTGTATAAAATATTTACAGTGTAATAAACTAATTAACCATTTTATATCAATACATTGATATTGAAAAACAATACTTATTAATACTTATAGATTACACAGACTTATAGACTTATAGCCAGACTTATGGATTACACAATTTATAATTTTTGTTAGAAATTTTATAGACACGAAACAAACGTGTTTTCAATTTAAAAATTTAAATGATTCCTCGAGAATCTCCTCTGTTTCTTCACTCTACACAATATTTCTGATGGAAATTTTATACTTTGGCAGTCTAGAATTTGCAATTAAATCTCTTTGCTAATTAATATTCAGGCATTTCGAAACAGAACGAAAGATTTCTTTTATTAAAAAAAAAAAAAAAAAAAAAAAAAACATGACTTGAATTTCTTCCGTATGATCATAGCTTGGAAGACAATGTACGGGAAAACAGTATGCGAACCTTCGACTCGTTTCTATTCTGCCAGATCGATCGCGTTACTTGCAGCTTTCCTAACCTTTAAAAAACAACCGACTGAGTCCTCCGTGCTCTTAACCATCGCGTTTCAAGATTCCCCCACGTGAATCTCCCATCACCCTTGAAGCACGCCGGCCCTCGGGCGCGTTAATTTTGCCCGGCGAATTGATTTCGACCCTGGTCGTGGCTATAGCCCGTCCGTTCTCGTAGCCCGTTCCTGCATTAACTCTCTGCCCAGTTAGATCGAAGTTGCGAACCGCCAAGAGGGAGAGCCCCGGGATCAGTGAGAGGAACGAGAGTCAGTGAACGAGGGAGGGAATAGGAGAGGTATGTACGTGGTTTTAAAGGGAACGTGTTGGATACACGGAGCTTCGGAGAGGTTATGGCTGCGTGAGCGAATGAAAAAAAAAAAAAAAAAAAAAAAGCAGGAAATGATACAGATCGAAAAAAGAAAGAAGAAACGATGGATGTTTTACGATGTCACGGAATTAGAAAAATTCAAAGCTGAACGTGAAGAATACAGAACTTGAGAATACAAGGACGTAAAATTGTCGAAGAACAGGTGTATCTATAAGACTTTTGCAATGGACACTGTAGCTATATGCGTTTAAAAATATATATTGATGGTTAGTACTTTTTTTTTTGTGACTAAGCGTCGTTTCAATGATATAAATAATGCGAAGACAAGTTTAAAATACCTTGCTTCCGGTATTGATAAATTTCGCAAGTTTCTGAAACAAGTAACGACACTTGTGAAAAATATTTTCCTTTTTAGTATTTGTGATACACGACACGTAATCAATAATACGCGACTAATTTAAAATTCAAAATCTCCTCCGTGTCGAGCTTTCATTCCCATCTGCGTTATTAAACTCACGTTTCGTCTCTATGTTCTTAGATCCATCGTAGAAAGAAAAGAAACCCCAACAACAGTCGGGACAAGGAAAGCGACATTGGTGAAACGCAGCGGACAAAAAGAAATAGAAAATGACAGGAAAACGAGAGACGAAATAAAAGATAAATAGAGTGAGAGCGGGTAAAGAGAGAAAGGATAAAAAAAAAAAAGATACGATAGGGCGGAGGAATGAAAATGCGAACAGATAGAGACAAGGTAGGAGAAAGGGGGAGGGGAAAAAACAGAGTGAGAGAGAGAGAGAGAGAAGCAACGACGCGTGAGAGACGAAGAGGAAGAGGGTTTATGTTCCAAAGCCCACAACCCACCCCCTATAAATTCAGCCAAAGGGGGGGGGGCGGAGGGAGATTTCCATTAAAGGGAAACTGTCGTTGCGGGAGTGTTTCTGTCGAGCAGCTTAAAGTTGGATGGAACGTTCCGACCTAACCTATAGGGTCACGAAGATATGAGCATATCTCGCTTTAAAGCCAACTCGAATTCTATCGCATCCCGCCCCCGCCAGACCCTCGTGGATTACTCCCCATCTTCTGCGCGCGATTTCTCCTCGTTTCTTTCTTTTTTTCTTCTCGTTGCTCTTGCGACCCTCGTGCAGAGAGAGACGCATCTCTGACGCTCCACGAATCGCCCGAACACCGAGGGTGTCGAGAACGCGGACAGGGATTCCCCGTCGATTGGAATGGCATCGTCGCAAATTAGAGGCTACTCCCTTTGGCCAAGGCAATGCTGTATTATGGGATTCTGCGACATGATCAAGAGGGGCCCTGGTAACCACGGTAGCGTTACGGATCGATCGGTAATACCGCGATCGATAATGCGTCCCCGCAACGTGTTCCAACCAAAGCTGATGGTACATATTATGGCCGGCGAGAATGAACTTTGTTATGTGTTTGAAGGGCTGAATTTTCGTTTTAAACCACCCTAAATCCAAGGATATTTCGTTCAATTGCATCGTATCTGCTTGTACTGATTAATTACGTTCAATTTCGAGTACGAACTTTCCAAACGAATATAAAAAAAAAAAAAAAACGCTTCATTGGGAGCTGGGGGAGCTCATCACTTTTCCTAGCAATTGTAACCTCTAAATTCAAAATAGACGTTCTTGAATTTCGATTGATCGAAGAGAAAGGGGAAAAGAAGAGGGTGAAATATTTAAGGTGGTCTAAAGCAAATTTTAACTTGAGCATGGTTCAGTATAATGAGAATGCACGGGCGTGGAAATCGGGTTTCCCTTTTTTGGAAAATTTTTATCACACTCCACGTGTACTGTGCGATGTGTGTACGTGGCGCACGTTGTGACGATTTTCACACTTGTGCATTCTCCCTGTTATGCAATCAATGTAAACTTGGTCCCAACGCCTCTTCGCCGAAATATGAACGGACAGTAGAAAACTTATCATCTACGTATGTAATGCGTTAATTACGTAATACTGTAATGAATAGGTGGGGGAAGAAAAAAAAAAAAAGGAATTGAAGCGTGTATATGTAACTGCAATAGGTATGCGGACATGGTCTGGCGTATCGACCGAGGTTCATACAGATTTACTAAGAGGAACTGCTTATTCGTTTGAAAATCAATTGCGATTGTAATTCAACGATTCGTGAAAACGCGACGAACAAAGAGTATACGCACGAATAGAAAGAAAAAAATTCATTTGGGACGTAACGTGAAAAAAAAAAAAAAAAAGAGATTGTATAATCTGAGAATAATTGTGATCGATAATTACAATTCAATAATTATAATCATTGTAATAATATTAATAATCGCAATAATAATAATAATAATAATAGTAGTAATAGTAATAATGATAATGATGATAATAATAATAATAATGAGTAATAATAAATGATTGTGATAGTAGTAGCAGTAGCGTCCATATTAATAGTATATAATGTTTGGTATGGTTATTTTCGCATCTGTACAATATGTGATTCGCTCATGACGGACATCGCTTTTTTCTGAATCATTGAAAGCTCGTCCAATCTTTGCTTTGCATACAGAAATTCATGTCGCATTTTGGTTGTTTGACAAATATGTCCTCGACAACTACAATCTATTTCATATTTCGATAAACTTAGCAGTAAATTAATAATAATAGTAACGTAATGATAATAGCAATGACCGATGACAATGATACGATAATAATTAACAACAGTAACTAACCAACAAATTAAATGTATCGTGATGCAATTAAAATTGAAAATCGGGCGTGTAGAAAAAGAAGAAATAATGGTACTAGGCAGCAGTAACAGCGACGATGATCAGTTCGAGAGATAACATGTACACAAAAAAAAAAAAACTGGTCGCACGAAACGCTGCTGAAAACGATACCCAATTGTCATACGTTATTTTTCACTACCTAGCTAAATGGAACAGTGGAAAGAAGAAAAGAAGAAAAAGAAGGGAGAGAAACGCAAAGAAGAAATGGTATAGAGGATGGAAGGGAGAGAAGTCGATATATTTTCTTTTTAAGTGTAATGTAGCGTTTTTTTTTTATACACCGTGTATAGAAGCGAAAAATTCTCATCGATGACTTTCGAGGAATTTTTATAATTTTCACGCGCCGTTACGGAAGACTGATGGAACGCTTTTGATCACGTGATTCTTCCGAATTTCATACTACATACGAAAACTAATACTAATATATATATATATATACATAGAAAGAAAAAAATAATTCTGAAAAATTTCTTCGACAAGAAATTAGAAAAAGAGCACCACTCTCTCGCTAGAAAAAATATTTTTCCTTCGCGAACAGAAAAAGAAAAAAAAGGAATAACAGAGAGATTACTCTAAATTGATGGCATGCTTGTACTACATGTTACGTGTCGCGAAACGATCCAGCGAACGTCATTGTATTTCTTCGTGTTTCTTCATCGTTGTTTCGAAAGAGAGCTTGCTAATTACATTGGTAAACTGCGAGTAACAAAACGTGTATGGTTTGAACTACCAAAATGATTAGAACGACCAACTTGATGATCTCTGTCGGATATTTTGAGACTCAAACGATTCTTTGTAAAGTACATAAATAAAAAGCTTGTGTCACAAGGATTTTGCTTTAATTTTATATTTCGGGTGAAAAATTTCACGCTTCTTCTCGTCGGTAAGTTCCAGCGTTAAATGCGTAGAATGATGATCAATGCGTTTTGCTTTTTCTGTAGATCGTTTGATTTATTGCTATTTCGGTCAATTGTGGAAACAAGGTGGTGGTGTCAGGTCACTAAATATGATTTTCCTCGGTTTTCATTATTTTTGATTCACGCGTGCTTGTTTGGGCCAACCGTGCGATAATTGCCACGTATGTACGTATATAATACTTTTCTTTTCTTTTTTTTTTTTCTAAGTAATACTAGATTCTATCCCAAGGTAGATTTGCAAATGGAAATTTTCGCTTTGGTTCGTCGATTTTTTTTCTTTTTCGGAAGTAGAGAAGGAGGGGAGGGGGGAGGGGAGGGGGAGAGAAAAAAGTGGCAACGATAGAAAACGCGCGAGTCCGAAAGGAAAGAGGCCGAAATCGATCGTTGTTACTCCATGCGAGGACGCCACCGACGGTCTTCGAAGATGAATACTTCAACAAACGACAGCCTTCGATATGCATAAATCAGTTGAACGCGCAGCTGGCCTCAGCAACACCAACGACGCCAACAGCCACCGAGTTTGAACGCGCGAGTTCAATTATTACACGCGTTCTAAAGCTAAGCACTTTTCCTTTATCCTCAAAGTAATCGAGAATCGAAGCAACGTATATATGTATATACATGAATGTGTGTATGTGTGTGTGTGTGTGTGTGGACAACGTTTTCTTTTTCTTTCTGCGATTGGAACACGTAGGATACATGTCTAATGTATAATGCATATGTGTGTGTATGTGTGTGTGTAAATGAATACATCTTCCTCTCTCTCTCTTTCTCTATATACAAATTATATATGAGCTTATATATCGTTAATATGTCTAAAAGCAAAACTCGGGCGAACTTATTACACACGTCGGAACAATTACTTTTGGTACTGTTTCGTGACCAGTTCCTGATTGTAACAAAACTTCGCTTTGTCATTCGCGGCTCTTCTCTCATCAGACGTTTTCGTTTCTCCGGCAGAAAGAAAACCGAGTTTCGTTCAGTTGTCGAGTTTTCGGGACGTTTCCAGGAACCGATCACGGATCTTCCTGCCGCGACTCGGGGGACTTATGTTCCAAGGTACGCGTTAGTGGGTTAGGTTTTTCCTCTTTATGCTACCTTAATCTCTAAGCGTATCAAGGGACGGAGCGTTGGACGGGCCAAGGTTACCACGACCGAAAATCGATATCGTCGGCGATCGAGGGGACTCGAATGAAAAAAAAAGAAAAAAAAAAAGAAAAAAAAAAAAAAAAAAAAGAGAGAAGAGGAATTATTCACATAGAGGAAATATTACATTTTGGTCGTGTGCCCATTTTCCCCGGTTGGAAAATTTTGAAAACTGTCTCGGTCGAGAGAAAATCTCTCTGCACAAGCAAGAGAAAGATGCTAACAACGCTGCAATTTGTTTCTTTTTTTTTTTTTCGTTTTAATCGTAATTTTACAGTAAATGAAAGTGAAACTATAATAACGTAAGAGAGGGAGAACATTTTTTTTTTTTTTTTTTTTTTTTTGAAACAAGTGCAGGATAGACCGGCTCTCCTCTGACAAAGATCTGTTCGGCGTTAGCCTCCTTTCCCCAATCGAACGCTCATCCCTTTTGACAACTTCACTCTCTCTCTCTCTCTCTCTCTCTCCCTCTCCCTCTCTCTCTCATTCTCACACTCTCACGGACTTAAGCTAGTAAAAAAATGTGAGCCTTCCTCGTTTCCTCTCCTACCCGCGTCTGAAATGCGACAAAGAGGGCGAGCGTGCGAGACGCGTGGAGAAAAGTGATATGTGTTCTCTTTATAACGCATCTAGGAAAAACCAACGCTCTCTCTCTCTCTCTCTCTCTCTTCTTACCTCTCTTGTCCATCTTTTCTGTATATACGTATACCACAGCAACACAAACACACACACACACACACATACTCGAGCTTTTGATATTGTGTTCGATAAATGAGCCGGGTTCGCGCGACGCAGAACGACGCGAATGAGGGAAAAAGAAAAAAAAAAAAAAGAGCTGGCGATCGATAGAAACGAGATGGAGTACGAGCAAGAGGCAGACAGCAGGGGGCGAGGATGATCGACTTTCGATTTCGTTCATCTTTTTTTTGCACGAGACAATAAAATACAGGCGATCGTTAATTTCGATGTCCCCTTCTAGCGGATAAAAATAAAAAAAAAAAAAACGAAAAGAAAAGAAAAGGATGGAAGAGATGATGAAAGTAAAGGTGATAGGGAGGATATGTCGACGATCTGCCTCTGTCTCTGTCGATGATGCGCCATGTGGTTTGCTTTCCCAGACGCGCGTCATTCGCGTCCCAAGTCGACTCGCCTCGCGAACGCAGCCCACCGACTTGTACAAATCTACTAAAAAGTACATACAATTTTACGTATATGCGATTGCACGGACGAGTTTTACGAATATAAATCGACCTGTTCTCATCGTGTGTCCATCGGGTTTGTTAAAAAAAAGAAAAAAAAATCGATCGACTTTAACAACAACAATAATAATAATAATAATAACAATAATAATAATAACACGGCATGCACGTGTAAAATCACAATTAAGTTCATCGTTGACTGGAAACTAACGTGAAATTTAGAACTGAAACGATCTCTACCAAAAAAGGACCCTTTTACGATCCCCATTTTAATTTTAAGTTTCCCATTTTACGATCAACTATGTTGTACATTATATAAATACACAACGATGAAACACTTCGATTCGTTTCAGCCACGTTTGTCGTCACGCGGTTTGAAATACACGGTTCCTCCGTGTATTTTACGCACAACACAACACGTGACGACGAGTATAAGAAACTTTCTTCTTCCTTTTCTTTTTTCTTTTTTTTTTTTTCGAAACGTTCGACAGTCGTTCGATTTTTCCTTTTCTCCCTTCCTTTCTTTACTTTTCTCTCTCTCTCTCTCTCTCTCTCTCTCTCTGATTTGCTCGTCGACTCTCCATCGGCTGCTCCCCCTTTTGTAAGCAAAAGGTAAATAATTCCGTGATTCTCTTTTCCTTCGTCAACTTTTTTCGCGCGAGAACTCCCATAGTTTTTTCTCTTTCTTTTTCCATTTTTTTCCTCTCTCGATACACGGTCAAGTACAGCAAAGGCACGCGATAAGAAATGGAAGGACACAAGGTCAAAGAGGGTGCACGAACATGATGATCGCGGTGTCACGCGGTTTCTCTCCACGATTTTTTCGATTACATTTCTGACGACGACCACCAAGTTTTACATTTACATTTACATTCCCATCGAACCCGAAATCCAACTGGCCGTCGTACCGTACGGTTCGTTTCATTCAAACGCAATTCGGGATCGTGCGTCTTTCGAAAAGAAACGAAAGCGTAAGAAGAGAAACGAAAGAAAACTTGAA